AGTGCTTATGCTCCTCAAGTAGGTTTAGATATAGGGTCTAAAAATAAATTTTGAAATGACTTAGAAGTCTTAATACACATGATATCTCTTGAAGAAAGAATTTTTATTTGAGGAGATTTAAATGTACATGTCGGTAGATTGGTAGAGATTTCATAAATATTCATGGTGACTACAGTTTTGGAGTGACTACTACAGTTTTGGAGTGACTAATCATGGTGGCTACGGTTTTGGAGTGACTAATGAAGAAGGTAGAGTTATTTTAAATATTGCTTTACCGTATGATTTTGTTATTACTATTAATTTATTCAAGAAAAGAGATGAGCATCTTATCACTTACAAGAATGAGTCTAATATAACACAAATTGATTATTTTCTTATGATAAGAAGAGATCGTCAAGATTGTAAAGATTGTAAGGTTATTCCAAGTGAGGATTTAAGTATCCAACACATTTATTAGTTCTAAATTTTAAGATGAAGAGTTGTAAAATAAAAAATACTAGGACTCATCGTCGTAGAATTAGATGGGGAAACCTAAAAGACAAATAAAATTATTTTTATGAGTAAAATTTAAGATTTCAAAATTTGAGATGTTCAAGATGAAGCAAATGCTATATGAGATAAGGTAACAAAAATTATTAAACTATATTAAACAAGTAAAAAAAGGTGTACTTAGAGAATCAAAAGAAAATTTTTTTTTAAATAAAAAATAGTTGGTAGTGGAATAATAATGTACAAGAAAAGATAAAATATAAGAAATTATGTTATAAAAATTAGTTTAAATGTAAAAGCATAGAGAACTGAGAAAAATATTAAACGGCCAGCAGGGAGTCTAAGTAAAACAATCTGTGATGCTAAAAATGCTGCTTTTAATGATCTTTATAATAGATTAGTTACTAAGGAGGGTGAATAATATATGTATAAACTAGCCAAACAAAGAGAAAAAAAAGTAAAGATTTAACTCAAGTAAACTGTATTAAAGATGAAAATAAAAAAATACTTTTCTTAGAAAAAGATATTCAACATAGGTGGTTGAGATATTATGATAAACTTTTTAATGAAGTTTCTGAAAGCACGATCGACCTTAGTAATTTTAATATCGTTAGTAATAATAAAACATTTTGTTTTTTATCGTCACATTAGCAAAAAAGAAGTTGAGGAGACTTTAAAAAAAATCATGGGTGGAAAGTCTGTAGGAATTGATGATATCCCAATTGAAGTTTGAAAATATTTAGGAGATTTGAGAGTTTTTTTGACTTACTAAACTCTTTAATATTATTTTAAAAACTTAAAAGATGCCCTAGGAGTGAAGAAAGAGTACTTTGGTCCCCATTTTTAAGATTAAAGGGGATGCACAAGTGTGTGCAAATTATAGAGGAATTAAGTTGATGTATCAGACTTTAAAATTATGGGAGAGGGTAATTGAACATAGGTTAAGGTGTATTACAAAGATTTCTCATAATCAATTTGAATTTTTGCCGGGCAGGTTTACTATGGAAGCTTTACATTTATTGAGAGGTTTGATGGAGAAGCTCAGAGATAATAAGGAGAATTTAAATTTGATTTTATTGATTTAGAAAAGGCTTATGGTAAGGTTCTAAGAGATATACTTTGGAGTGTTCTTGAGAAGAAAGGTGTTGATATGACTTGTATTCAAGTCCTTAAACATATTTATACTAGAGCTGTTACTTGCGTTCGAGTTCGAACTGAAGGAACTGAAGGAGGATTGACCATATATTTTCCTATTTCTGTTGGATTACATCAGGGATCGGCTTTAAGCCCATATCTTTTTGCTTTAGTTATGGATGGTCTTACTGGACATTTATACGAGGATGTACCATGGTGTATGCTTTTTGTCGATGATATCCTTCTCTTGGATAAGACGAGAGAAAAAACCCAAGAAAAACTTGAATTATGGAGGTCTACATTGAGGAAAAACTTGAATTATGGAGGTCTACATTGGATTCTAAAGGCCTTCATTTGAGTAGAACTAAAACTGAATACATGGAATGTAATTTTAGTAGGAGTAGCTCTAATGAGAGAAGTGTAACTTTGGGTGATCAAATTATTAAAAGGTGTAAACGATTTAGATATCTCAGGTTTGTTGTTCATAGTGATGGTGATATAGATGGGGATGTTAATGGTAAAATTCAAGTTGGTTGGTTGAAGTGGAGGAATTTTTTTGGCTTTTTGTGTGATAGAAAAGTACCGTTTAGACTGAAAGGAAAATTTTATAAGACGATGGTGATATAAGACGACGGTGGTGAGATCTGCAATGCTCTATGGCGTTGAATGTTAGCCTTTAAAACAGAAGCATAATATTAAGTGTTGCCGCGATGAAAATGATTAGGTGGATGAGTGGCTTTACACTTAGAGACAAAATGCGAAATGAATATATCCGTGATAGGGTTGGTGTAGCTCCTGTGACGGACAAAATTAGAGAAAGTCGTCTTAGATGGTTTGGTCACATTAAGCATCGACCATCTGATGATCCGATTAGGACAGTAGATGCTTTAGATTCGACTTATGTTAAGAAAGACAGAGGTAGACCTAGAAAGACTTGGGCTTATTGAAGAAAAAATGATCTTAGTTTATTAGAACTAAATAAAAATATGACACTAAATAGGACGCAATGGAGAAAAAATATTCATGTAGCCGACCCCGCGTAGTGGGATTAAGGCTTTGATGTTGTTGTTGGATAATGATCAGTTTAGAGAATTTTTATTGAATATCAATGTTGCTATGAGATCTTGATTCATGGAGGTAATACCAGAGGTGGAACTTCTTTCCATTGCCATTTTGTGTTTACCATTATCTGGTTTTGACAGAAAACTTTAACGGAAGGCTGAGAAAGAATTAGGAAAGTGAGGATGTAAAAGATGGAGAATTATAAACTAAAGTAGGGAAGGATGAAAGTATGGCTTTGATACCACGCTTTAGGGTAGTTGGCTGTCTGTTTGGTGCAGCTGTGTGAAAACAGCTGTAGGGCAGCTGTTTTTGGAAAAATGATCATGCTGCCCCTGTTTGGTAGAAATGTTTAAAAGAAGATTGTAAGGGCCACATTTTTTAAACTTCAGAAATAGAAATTCATTTATAAACAGAACAAAAAGTTCAGATACACCGCTCACTTAATAGTGAACCCCAAAAATGCTAAAACTTTTCTTCGTGGGTTCTATTCTAATAGTTACATATCGGAATGAAAAAATAAAAAACAATGCTTCAAAAATACAAGTTCAAGCCAACATAATCTTTACACATCCTTGTTCTAAACTCTTGGGTCATTTTACATTAGGTCTGAGGGCTGCCCTACTTCCTGGCATGGCATCCATTGTAATGGAAATCTTGTCACTTCGATCTCATTGAGAGATGTCGGTCTGGTAGGAAACATCAGTTTCTCTTCCCTTGCTCCAATGGATAGTCTGCACAATCTGTCTCTTTCAAATAAGCAATTTAGAGGAAACACAACATAGTAATGATGATATTCGTTTACGATACATATAAACATCAGATTTGCATCATTCTAAAATATTTTCACTCAATTTTTACTCGACAAAACAAGCGGGTGAAATTAATTTCGAATCAATTCATCATTCATTTCAATTTTTATTTATGATTCTCAGCCTCTTATTCAAATTCATTAAACCAAAATCACCCACAGAGAAGCAAGGATTTCAACCACAAACAAGACGCGAAGAAAAAAAAAAAGTGCTCTCAAAACAAAGCCTTCAAATCTGTATACTAAGCTTCCAACAAGCACTTTCATGCAGTACAAAAACTGCATCAAGCAAGTCAAACAAAGTGGAGAATTGAAGGATCAAAACATAAATTGAAAAAGTTGGGTAAAAGGAGAAAATTTCACCTCCAACTGATTTCAAATCCACACCCTCCAAAAGCTGCTCTTTCCATCTCCTAAGACTATCATCATACTGCCGCACAAAAGAACCACGAAACAAGACGAAGAATGAGACATTAAACATCAAAATGAAACACCGTGAGCAGAATATAAAGAAAGACAGAAGGAAGACCTTATCTTTCTCCATCTGATCCTTGAGAGTAACTTGCGGCCCCAAATCAAGTACCTTCCAAGCTTGTCTGCTTCTCCCTCTTCTTCTTCTCCCTCCTCATCGTCAAGGGAAAACTCACTCAAGCAGCCGATCACAAGAGACTGGGAGCCCGGGGCAACAGAGGTAAAAGTCGCTCGATAACACGGGGCCGCGGGGTTCATCCCGCGGCCCGCGTTCCGCCTATTTTAGCGGCGGGCGGCCTTCAACAAGATAACCAAATGCGAATTTTGAGCGCAGCTTCGTGGTTTGGGGCCGCGCCGCATGAAAAACGCGGCCCCGACCCTTAGAACAAACGAGAATAATTTTGCGTTTTCATTACTCTATTAAGGCACAGTACGATATTTATAGTAGAATTATGGTCCAATTGGTTGGTCGAAATGAGAAAGAGACTGAGAGCGCTAAATAAGGCCATAAATGGCCTAAAGAAAAGGGGAAGACATTAAATAAAACAAACCTCATCAATTAAAATGAAATAGGTGATGAATGCAATATCCTTAATTTTGAGAAACTGTGGTAGTGGCTAGCAAGGATGTGACCCAGTTGTGGCGCGATAATTAGAGGCAGTGGATTGTAGGTGAGGCTGCATTAATGCTTATCGAGGGCTGGTGGACAACGCTGATGAAGGCTGGTGGATTGAGGGCAGAAGCCACAGGCATGGGGACAGCAGCAAGCAGGCAGCTGGTGGACAAGCAGGTGCTTGCAGGGAAGGCTACGGCTGGTAACTTCCAGCCTGGCCGAACTGGACTATGGTCTTGATTTCAGGAAATGGAGTTTTGCAGATTTATGGAATTTAACATATTTATCATATTTTTTCTTGTACTTCGGCTTTGTGTTAGAAGCTGGGGAGTTTTGTTCTGGATTTACTGTAGAATCATCGTGCTCTAAATATTATGTATTTCTACCTTCACTTTACTGGCTGAATCATTTTGCCTGGAACAGCATTGCACTTGTGGTCGACAATCCGGAGTTTTTCAACAAGCTTGCTGAATCTTTGATCCCAAGGGCGAACATAAGGTTTGTAATTTTACTTTGGGGTGATAAGTCATTTCTCAACAGCAACTATGCAAAGGATATTCCACTGTATGATTTTGAGGAAATCATTGGACTCGGTCATGAAAGCCGCCTTTCATTGCTCAGTTCTTGCAAAAAAGGTATTTAATCACACATAACAGTAAACCAGCCTTTTTAAATATACTTACCTGCAGAAAATTATAATGCATGATAAATTTTATGATATTTAGTTTAATTTGTATAGGAAAATATTACCGGATTGTTATTTTTTCTCTTTCTATATAATAGTTGATTGCTTTACAAATAATTTTATGATTGAAAGCCTTAATGCTCTTTAGATACAGTATGGTAGTACGTTTAGATTCTCACTTCCTCACTTTCGAGTCTTCAAAATTTTCTGACAGTAACAGTTGCTTCTAGCAGTTTAGGAATTGTGAGTCTTAATTTTTATACAAGAAACGTGGTACAGCAAAAATATCATGGTCCGAAAGCTACATGAGGAGGCTTTGAAGCGAGTTTGTCACCCGTAAGATATAGTAGTTCTTATGAAAAGTTAGATATCTGGAAGAACATAAAAGGCGCCTATCTGTTCCCATTCCACTTTCCATAATTAGGTTTTTTTTATTCAATCTATGCAGTGGGGCCTTTCATCAGCACGTTAAGGTTGTAAGCATCGTCAAAAATAGTTTTGTAACTAGATGGAATGTTTTTGAGGTTCCATTTATTGCTAACATGAAGATTTAATCTTATAAAACAATTAATTGGTATATAAGTGTATTAAGAGAGAATAGTTATTTAATTAAACTTTCTATTTCTTAAATGATGTGGGTGTCATATCCTGCATTTGATTCGGGATCATTTTCATGCTTGTCCCATCAAACACATGAAAACACAAAATAGGGAAACCGGTTTAATTGCCCTGACAAGCTCAACAATCTAGCCCCCAAGGTTGGCTGGTCCCTTTGGGACTTTATTTTCTATAATTGTTGTGATGGGGTTAAGATAAATATCGAACAATGATTCGAGAGATCTAAAACAAAATACTTAAGAGAGGCACACAAACAAGTAATTTCAGAAAAAAAAACGCAGAGTTCAACAATATTTGACGTGGAAAAATCTCTGAATGGGAAAAAAACACTAAATCACTCCACACCACACCATAGAATCCACTATGACAATGAAGAGACTGTACATATTACAATACACCCGAGTCTCTCTACTCTCTTGGAACTTAAACGATACCTCAGGATGCTTCTTCTTTCTCTTTGGCACAAGAGAAATTCGCAAATGACACACCAAACACTTGTTCACACAAAGGTCTTCTTCATGCAGACGCCAGTGATAGAACTTCACACGCGACAGACGAAAACCCTCACCTTGCGACAAAGTTGAAGCCTTTAAATTCTGAACCGCAGAAAAATTGCTTTTGGTGTTGGGGTGCCACCCCTTGCGCATGGTTTCCAGTCTCTCGGTGTTGTGAGTGGCCCTAGGCGTCGAGATTCTGCCCTGGGAACTTTTGGATGGTCGGCTAGGCACCCAATTGGTGCTGGGGCGCCATTCCTGACGCTGGAGGGCCGTGTCCAAGCTCAGGGTTTCCTGGTGCTCGCATTTTTGGGCATTGAGGCGTTTTGGTATAATATATATTTGATTTAGACAAATTTTACACGGCTTTATTTTGCTTTTATGACAAATTGGGATTTCTTTTTAGATTTCTCTCTTTAATGTGTGTTATAACCTTACTTTTACAAGGGATGTAGTTGTAGCTTGTTAGAATGTAGCTGGATCCCTCTTGACATTCGTACTTTGCCGGTATTGCCATTGGTTTATGTTTCCTTGCTGTTTTCCCTACTGGATAGCAGCTATGTGTTATTTTCCCTCTCCAATCCTTGTCCTTTTCTTATATTCTTTTCTTTCTATTCTACAACATGCCCAACTAGGGGTATGCATTTTTTGATGAAATCCAAAAAACCGAACTGCAACAAACAAGTTTGGTTGATTTGGTCCGGTTTCAAAAATGCATTTCGGTTTTCTGTTTTTAAAATCTCAATATTTGGTGTTCGGCTTTAATTTTCATTTAAAAGATTAAACTAAAACCAAAAACCAAAAACCAAAAAAAAAATGAAATTAAATGGAAGATTCATGAAATTAAATTGATATTATCCATGTAGAATATGTAATTCTTATTGTCTGCTTATAACCAAAATCTAACTAGTTACTAAATTTCAACTAAATTTCAAATTTCAGTTTGTTCATAATCGAACCGTTTAATTCGAAGTAAATTTTGGGTCAGTCGATTTGGTTTAATTTAAAATTTGATTGATGTGGTGTTTTGGATTTCAAATTTCGATTGCAATCGGTTTGACCAATTTAAAAATCGATCCATCCAAATCGACCAAATGTTCACCTCTTATCTTAACCAGCTCCTACGTCTTTTGGGAACCCTAGAATGTTGTTATTTGGTATCAAAGTTGAATTTCAATTCTAATCCTAGAACTATGTAGATCCATAATTTTTTTTTCAGATGCCACAAAACCTAATCCTTCTACCTCCACCAAAACTATCCTTACATTGTCCACCTGATTCTTAAAATTTTCGACAACCCTAATTAAATCCATAAATTTACATTGACCTAAATCCTGAATGAAGGAGATTTACCGTGTGACTAAAGAGAAATCCTCAAAGTGATGCTTAGGACTTTACCTTGGATGATACTTAAAGAGAGATCGTCAAATTACAGGAGACTCGCTGATTTTGAAAGAAGACAACACGTAGATGTCACATGTAGTAACAACGGTGAACTACTGATGGAGAAGATGACACAAACCCTTTTCCTTAAGAAGCATCAACGGACGAAAAGTCGATGCCACATCAATTTAACATTGAATATATGAAAATAGAGGATGACTTTGGAGTGAAGATTGATTCACTGAATTTTGATGGTCATATGGATCCATATAAGTTCATAAATGACTTTCAATGATAGAACAATTTCTTGAGCACAAGGATATTCCGCCTAACAGATGTGAAGTTAGTTGCTATCAAGTTAAAGAATAGTGCTTCGTTGTGATGTGAGAATTTGAAAAGATTTTATTGCAAATGCCTTTTAGCACTTTATAGATAAGATAATAAAGAATAGTGCTTCGTTGTGATATGAGAATTTGAAAAGTTTTTATTGCAAATGCCTTTTAGCACATTATAGATAAGATAATTTTGAGACTTCACTTATAACATAAAGACTTATCAATAGGGGTTACACAACTGAGTTTGAACAATTAATATTGAAACGTGAGTTGTGGAGCTAGAAGAGAACACCATAGTTTTATTTCTTGGAAGATTGAGGCTTTTTATTAGCTTTGTGGTGAATTGCAACCCAATTGGACCTTGCATGATGCATAGATCTTAGCATAAAAATGGAGAAGCAACATAATAGCATAAAATCCACACCATTCGTGAAACAAGGCTTGATCATGGGGTTAGACTACAAGAGTATCTTGGCCAGAGCGCCACAACGTGCCACATGTTGGATGCTAACACCAGATAGAGCCAGGACTGATCGAGCTAGCATCCTCAAGACATTCCTAGCCATGCAGTGTTTTAAGTGTCATAAATATGGGCGCATTAGATCGAACTTCCCAAATAGGAGATTGATTTCTCTTTCTTAACAGGGTACATTGGAAGAAGCCGAGAGTGGAAACTATGGAGATGCGGAGAATGGATAGTAATACCTGCTACCCATTGGTGATGGTGTGATGCTTGTAGTTTGATGAGCCTTTAAGTTGGACCTAGGAGGGATCAAAAGTGTCATGAGCTGACCTAGGAGCTTGGAAACTCCAATGTGTGAACAAACGATTATACTTTTATTTTCGATCACTAAAATTTTAAATTCTAAATAAATTGAAAGTGCCACTAAAAAAAATAATTTAATTTAACAAATATTATGTTTACCTTTCTACTTACCCAAATTTTTGTACATATTCTCTCCTTTGCTACTTATATTTTATTCAAAAATTTAAACTTAAAAATGTTAAAACAATATAAATGAGTTATCCAAGATAATCTAATGGATCAATTACATCTCAATGTGAAGAAGACAAAATGTAATCTAGTCTTTCTTAATATTTTATAAAATTATATAATGATGCAAATCATGTACTCATGACATTTGCTCATTAAAGAAATAAAAAATTTCTATATGCATTAACTTCTGCTTTACTTTACGAGTTGCAATCTTTTTAACTTCTTAATGCACATATTAATCTAAACTAGTATATCCGTTTCAGAAGCACTGTCTAAACATAATCAAACACACCTCTGTCCGATATTCTCTGGTCGGTAGAGTGGTCCGGGATCTAAATTGCATGATTGTGATATGAGCCATAATAAAAAACAGTGAAAAAGCATCGAAGAAATTGCAAAGAGGTAAAAAAACTCTAATGAGGACTGACCTTATTAAGACCAATGAAAGCAAACTAGATACAACACTGATCTACTATTCAAAAGGTAGATCTTCTCTCCTAAGACCAATGAAAGCAAAATGGATACAACGTTGATCTACTATTCAAAAGGTAGATCGTCTCTCCACAAACCATAGACGCCGCTAGGAGCATCATAAGAAAAAAAACTGCAGCCAAATTAAAACATAACCAAACCATAGGTTATTTGCCTTAATATAACCCTCACAATTACTCTTCAAACTCCCCCCTTGCCCGCCTTAGTGGGCCCCACTGGGAGCTGGAGTCTTCTGCGGCAACACTAGGATTTTCCGCCCCTCTTGCTTAACCGGTCGGTCCTGGAAGGCTGGGATGGGACGGTCGGTTGGGTTTAGATTGGCCTTGCCTGGACCGGTTCTGCTAGTGATGTAACAATGCTACTATGCCAAAGAAGCACCTTATCTACAAGGTGGAATGACGTAAGCTGCTTTTGGATTACCTCGTTAGGCTTCCGCATTGCTTCATAATCCGACAGACTTTTCCACTTAATAAGTACCTCCTTTTCTCTCTCCACTCCTTGACGCACTCTTTCAACCTCTAGCGGTTCTAGAATCATCTACAGGTCCCTTCTTCCGCCTCATAGGTAGTGAGGATGTGGGCGTATGATCTCCAATAGCATGTCTCAGCTGTGAAACATGGAAAACTGGATG